AACTGGTTTAGGATCAATGAAGTAAAAACTGTCTGGAAGACTGCTCAGAAGTGTAGGAAGAAGGTCAATGACTTACTCTACTACTAGGGTAAGGGCCATCCTATTCTCTCTGCTACCTTACACTCAGTCTATCCCTGCTGCTGCACCCACCTCACACAAAGGCTCATGCTCTAGCACTATATTGCGTAGAATATCTTCCTTCACTTAATCTCACTTACCCCAATCTCTAGACTATTAACTCCATACATCTTCTGCATTGCCTAATTACTTACTTGGGTTAACTGATTAACTTCCCCACCAGCACCAGCAACTAACATCTGTGCCACCATTTTCATCTCACTTAATCCCTCCCTTTTCTTCTTTCCGGGAGAAAACAGCTTACAATAGGGCAAAAAGGGTGACATTCAGCTCCTCACTCTATGCGAGGAAATGATCCTAATCTGGACTGCCCCTGGGTCTGACTGAATGTGTTAAGACCCCTGGACTGATAATGGAGGCTGCCTTCGACTTACTGGGCTGGGGCTTCCTGACTGAAGGGTGTCTGTCTTAACGTAACTGAGGAATATTCCTCTAAGGTATTGAGACATGGCCATTTTCTGCATAAACTGCTGGCACATGGTGCAGATGTGAGATTAACATAGCACGGTGCAGGATAACAACATGTCCATCCACTTGAGTGATCACTGTTGACAACTATGACATGATTTTTGGTTTTGTATGCGCATTAAAGGCAAGGCAAGACAGAAGCACTATGAACCTATTAGTTCTGGCTAAGGGACCAAAGCAAGGCAAGCAGGGATGCTGTGAGCATCTAAGTAGGCAAACAGAGTGAGATAACTTGAACATGGTGGTGTTCCCATATGTGGAAGAGGTTGTGGGTTTGGAAAGTGCTGTCTGAGAATCTTTGGTGAAGGAGGCTGTGTTTAAAAGGCCCTGGAAGATTCATCCTCTTTTCGACCGACATACGCATGCATATTTAGTGCATCAGTTATCTCTCCCTTAGCTTCTTTGATTATGAGCAGATACAGTTAATTCAGATCCAGACTTCTTAAGTATGTCTAGTTTATCAATTCACTCCTTCCTTCATATCAATAAATGCCCTTAACTCCTTTGAGAATTTTTTTTTTCTGGTGTAATCTACCTTGTTAAACTCTGGTATCATTGAGATAAAATAATTATTCAATATTTATTTAATATTCCAATTGAGTTTATCCTTCGCATTCCTTAGTGGCCATATCCCTAACTTGAAGTTCCTTTTTCACATGTTGGTGGAATCTTTACTGTTTCGTAGAGTCATAGAATCACATAGTATAGATACAGGCCCTTTGGCCCACCATGCCTGTGCTGAACAACAAACACCAAACTATGCTAATACCATTTACCTGTACTTGGCCCATAACCTATTATTCCTGACATTTTAAGCACTCATCTATATAATTTTTAAATGCAGTGAGAGTATCTACCTCCATCACCCTCTCAGTCAGAATGTTCCTTATACTTACTCCCTTTGGGTGAACATTTTTTCCCATATATCCTCTAATCCACTTGCTCTTCACCTTAAACTTATGCCCTCTGGTCTTAGACACATCTGCCATGAGGAAGAGATTCTCATGATCTACTCTTTCTATATACCTCATAATTTTGTATACCTCAATCAGAACACCCCTTAGCCTCTCTGCTCCAAGGAAAACAAACCCATCTTATCCAGTCTTTCCTCATAGCTGAGACTTTTCATCTCAGGCAACATACTAGTGAATCTCCTCTGCAGACTCTCCAGTGCAATGACGTTCTTCCGAAAGTCTAGAAACCAGAACTGCACACAGCATTCCATCTGTGGCTTAGCCAATGTTTTATAAAGTTGTAACAAGACTTCCTTGTTCCTATATTCCATACCCCAGCTAATGAAAGCAAGCATCCCTGTCTTTCCAAGTGTTGATTAGTCCTGTCCTTCAGACATTTTTCTAATAATTTGCTAAAACTGAAATCAAACTAATTGGTTTGTAATCACCTGGCTTATCACTACTTGAACAAAGGAACCACATAAGTGGTCCTCCAGTCATCTAGAACTTCACTTCTGGCCAGTGAGGTATTCCACAATGCCCCAGCAATCTTTACCCTTGGCTCCTATATCAGCCTGGATACATCTCGTCAGGCCTTGGGGATTTGTGAACCTCTATGCCCATTAAAACATCTAATACCTCCTCATTATTAATCTTCATTTAATTTTTCATTTTGATATCTCACTCACGTCCATTGGCTCCACACACAGGTTGACACTTTGGTCTCTTATCGGTCACACCCTTTCCTCTTACACTTAATATATTTATATTTGTGTTTATTTTTGTTAATAATTTAATTCTCATGTTCTTTTCCTTCCTGAATGATTTCTCTTGTTAATTTCTGACCTTGTCTTCTTCTCATCTTTCATCTTGTCCTTTATTGACTGCCTACTTAAAGTATGGCTTTTCCTTTTCTTTCAATTTATGTGTGTCTGTTTTATTTGTTCCTACTGTCTCATTATTGGCTAGTTTGTTCTTGTTTTGCTTTTATCTTATTTCTCCTGAACTCTACTGATGACCTCTGTAAGTATTTCCTGATGTTGTTTGATATCATTGTTTATACTTAGAAGTTTCCAGGTATGAAATTTAAATCTAAATTGAATTGTTTGTGTGTTATCTAAAGCTGTCAATTATGTTAAATATGTAGATATGTCTTTTCAAATTATTAGTTTTCCAAATGACTACAAATTTGGTCTAATGGATTTCTCACCACATTTTAGACCTTTAAGGCACAAACCCAGCTGTGTCACTTCTGTCTGAACACTTCTCAATGCATTAATCAATAAATGTGGGGCTGGAAAAGCACAGCAGGTCAGATGCATCCGAGGTGCAGGAAAGTCAATGTTTCGGGCCAAAACCCTTCCTCAACCCAAGTCCCTGACACTGTGAGGCACCAGTGCTGACCAATGAGCCACTGTGCTGTTCTAACTTTCCTAGTTATCATAACTGTTTCTAAAGTTATGTTAATTATTCTTTACAATCTTGTCACACACACAAGGCATTAAGCGAGATCAAAAATGGAGAATCACTACTTATGTTTCTTTAAAAAAAAAATCCTTTTTTTAAAAACAGACAATTTCTTAATTTAAATGGTTTTTGCCAACCACGGGATGGGTAAATTGTTGCTTCTAGAAATTTGTTAGGACAGAGGCATCAACTCTCTGGAATCTCACCCCCATTGTGTAAATATTGCACTTAAAACCTATGTAAAGGAGCAACAGACAAAGCATTCCAACAGTCAGGTTTGATTTGAAAGAAAACCATGGAAGTTCATTACGCCTGAACTGGTGCTGATGTTTCCCAAATTTATCTTCTGTAACACACAATGGTTTTGACCAGGAACATTGAAGCCATCTCATTAGGATGAACTGTCTCACTAGTTGGCCCAGTACATGACTGAAACTTCTGTTTTTTGAATAAATGTAATTATACAGATTTTAATTTTTCCACAGACTGCTTTTCAACATCAAAACAGAAAACAAGTAGTAGTTCTGGATTCAGCTGAAGCTTGCTTCGAGCCATGACTTCTCAATATCTGATTCGTGGGAAGAATCCTGCATTCACCCATCGAAAGTAAACTAATTCCAAGTCTACAAGAATCATAATGTTCCAACTACATCCACCTGCAATTAAGCTCATATGTAGACAAATTCTGCCATACCAGCCAAATGCAAGAATATTCATTGAGCTCACTGGTCTTTGATTTCCATTCATTAACACCCATGTCTTTATTTTAATGACATGTCTTTATTGGTTATTGTGATTTGTTTTCCTTATTTTATCTTCTTTCTTCTTTTTATGCTTATATCTTTAAATGTGCTGCAAAACATATCTCCCAGATTAGAATAATTTCACAAACTGTGTTTGGCCAAATATGCCAGCCTATTTTGAAAATGAAAGTAAGATATAAATTCATTAAAAATAAAAACAACTTCTGCTTATGGGCAGAAGAGGCGAACAATAACACAAATAAATTAACCTCTCCCTCCTGTCTGCAGCAACCATATAGCTGTCTTGGATGTATAACTTCATCCTGAACAAACACAGAGGACTAAGAATTACAGACTGAAATATTCCAGAGATCGGTTTGATTGACTTGTGAAAATTAAAGGTTCAATAGGATGTTTATGACCACAAAATATTCCAAAGCACTTTATATGAAATTTTTTGAGTTTAGAAAATGCAGCAGTCATCACTACATCTACTTCCTCACACTGGAATGTCAGCTTAGATTTCTATGCTTTCTGGTCAGACTTAAACTGACACAATCTTGTGATTCAGAAGCGTGCTGCTAATTGAGCCATTACCGAGTATAAACATGGAGTCAGGGGATGGAATCCACAGTTCTGCACAGATGATGGAAAGTGAGTTTAATAACTTGAGCAGTTTTTTTTAAAGTGGTGAGTTCGTTCAAGAATGAGAGGGAAAATGTACACTACATTGAATACAGAGAAGAATATTAGTCGCTAGACTTTGTCTATGCGACATCTTAGTCTTACACAACAACATGTCTGTTGACAGACTTAAAACCAGAGAGGTAAATATCCGATTTAACAAATGTTAACCACCTGGGATCACAGACTTGTAAACGTTACTGATCGGTCACGTGAGATGATTGCCGGCGCTATCTGAGGCATCAGAGGTCCTGCGCTGAAGTAAACAGGGCAATGATGGATTGCACGTTTTCCAAAACAAATCTATTCAAATTCGATGGAAACAATGCAAGCTATCAAATGTCATATTATTGTATCAGTTTATAACACACTTACCCTTGCCACATCCTTCAGATTTATGATATAGATTTATAATGAGAATTGCAGAATATAATTTATGGCACTATTGTTCTATGACAATGTTGAGGTGGAGGCTTGCGGTCAGTATTAAAGCGTTCTTTAAAAACGCGCACACAACTTTGATAAACTCAAATATTTTATTGTCGATTTGAAGTGTACAGCGTAGGACTGTAAAATATAGAAAGTGTAGGCACAGATGACTATGTACAGGCATTTAAATAACAATAATGAAATATACTTCGATGCTTCGGAAAAAGAATAAATACAATTGCTTTATGTTCATATTATAGCAAGTTGCTCCACAAAACAAAGAGTACATTTCGATGTGGAGTGTTTGGAAGAATTAATCTGTACAAATTAGCTATCCTTTCCGTCCTTGGGATCAATACTTTAGTTGAATATATTTCAGCTTCTGTGGACTTCCTTCAAATGAGGAATAACATTAGACCGAATTCTTTTGTTGTTTTTGCTTTTTAGTCTGAAAGTTTCTCCCTGTTAATTCCTTTCTCGTGTACTGAGAGCGAAAAGTGATCTACAGTTATACAAACCTTCTCTCTCTATATATATTAAATAAATAAAAGAGAATACAGTGTAATTATTTCTTGATTAATTGATGCTATGCTAAATGAATGAAGATGCGCAAGATCATGTACTATATCATTGTTTGATTTTCCCATAATCCCCTCTCTTGCCTTTGGCGGGGTGGGGGGTTGCAGAAACAAGGAAAAGTGTTGCTGTTGTGAGAAACTCACCAGGATTGAACTTTCTGCATTGACTTCAGACTGTTTTTAAATGTAAAGCATCATGCAAGTTCAAATGTATTTATTGTAGAAATAGCTTAAATCAACAGTCCATTATTATGACATTTAACCATATTGATTGAAACTATTTCCCTCGTTTACTTCGAAAAAAGGCCTAATGTTCATCTGCTCGCGCTAATAAGGTGCTATTTGTTGTGAATATGTCCATATGCTTTAATAAATTTTAAAAAAAATCCACGACCGAATACTTCAAAATGAATGTGCTTTTACTAGCTGCTTCGTTCTGGAATATAAATATCCGTGCTGCATTCAGATCATTTATGAATGCACACCTCGTCCATCATAGCAAAGTGACAGTTCAGAAATTGGACTTTATTTTGAAACTTAATTTCGGTTTAAAAGAAATTTTAAAAACTGCATGTTTCCTTTTCGAGATAAACCCACGCGGTTGCGACAGGGTCACTTTCCTCCGAGCCGACCCCTTTTTGTGAATCTGCTCAGTTCGGTGTCCAGAAGGTAATGTATGTCTTTTGTTGTTATTGGGTTGAGGCAGTTCACATAACGACACACTTCCCCTTGAGTTTCTCTGTCCTCTTTTGCTGCTTGGATTTCTTGCCGTCGATCTGTAGGCTCACTGCCCTGCGCTTCTCCAGATTCAGCAGTTCCTGAAAGAGTTCCTTGACATTGTGATTGGTCTTGGCCGAGGTTTCCATGAAGCCGCACTTCCAACGCTTGGCTTGGGATTCGCCATCGCTGGCCTGCACCTCCCTCAAGCTGTCATCGCACTTGTTGCCCACCAGCATGATAGGGATGCTCTCCACGTCCCCCTTGATCTGACACACTTGCTCGTAGATGGGCTTCAGCTCTTCCAGAGACTGTTTGCTAGTGATGGAGTACACGAGGATGAAGGCATGTCCTTTGGAGATCGAGAGCCGCTGCATGGCCGGGAACTGGTGACTTCCCGTGGTGTCCGTGATCTGTAAAGTGCAGATGCTCTTGTCGCAGCTGATGACCTGGCGATAAGTGTCTTCAATGGTGGGGATGTAGCTCTCACGGAAGGTCCCTTTGACAAACCTCAGGACCAGCGAGCTCTTCCCCACGCCCCCCGCTCCAAATACTACAACCCTGTAATCGTTGCTCTGTTCTGGCATCTTGCAGGCTGCCTTAGACTATCACCTACAGTCAAAGGGAAAGAACAGATTACACAAACTCAGGTCACGTAAACGTGTATACGTACATATATATAATTAATATAAATATTTCCCGTTTTATCCACGTTAAGATCCATTGTAGATTCAAAGCTAGTCGGACGGGCTGATGGAGTGCAGTTACATTCTCCTCTTCTAGGAGAGCGTGTCTGAGCTAACTGTACCGGCTCAGCGCTGCACTGCCCGGCTGCTCAGAGCAGTTGGCCGTTGAGGAAGTGCATATTCTCAGTCGGCCGCCTTCGTATCTAAGGCACGGATCACCGGGGACCAGAAATCGGCGCAGAACACGCGCCACACCGTTGCCCCTTTCAAAAAGACCACCTCCAAACACACACGGCCCTAACCCTACGATACAGCTTCTGCTTATGGCATGCTAAAATTTTAAAACATAAATGAAACAGTTACGTTACCAGACAACGAAAGCTACAATATTCCAATTGCTTGCGTCGAGCCGCGCTGCGCTCAATCTTGAGGACTCATCGTTGCTAAAGGTTGCACATGATTAATTGTGGAAGAGCCAGAAGGGCTGGGGGAGTTTCTGTCCTATATTTAAGGCAGCAGGGAGTTTTCTATGCAGGGATGTTATTACGTACCTGGTTTGTTTAGAACGCTCTGTGTGATCGGGGAGACGGGGATATGACTATCGTCATCAGCAATTTTGACTGCTACGTCTGGGTGCTGGTTGTCAGAATACTGCATCGAGGGTCATGGATCTGTTAAATTCGAACCAGTGCTGCTAATAATTCTTCCATGGGTAGGAAAGAGCGAGGGACCGCAGCACGTATCAAATCCGCACCGTCAGCACTAAAAAATATACTATTTCTAAATCAACATTTAATCGTGCACGATAACAGGCAGTTTGGTCAGCACAAATCTTTGCTTTTGTAAAATCTAGTAACTATTTTTAAAGGCGCTGTCATAAAAATTAAACAAGTGGGTGGATTAGGGAATTGCAAATAGCAGGCATTTGATTTTTTTTTAATTTGAAAAACAAATTCTAGGTATAGTCAGTCAACATCTGGATAAGGAGTGATCGGTTTAGGTTTCCGATTGAAAAGTGTACTCCCCAATCGTTAATCTGTCCAATCCCCCCTTTGAGATTGTGTCAGACCTGCTGCGTATTTTCAAGACTGCGTTTTCACATCGAGTTTTTTTCACTTCTTTTCGCAGACCTAATGCTTACAGCATTTTTTTATTCTAATTTCCCAGTTGTTTTTCTCGTCTGTAAGCACTGACAAGCTTTCATATTCACTGTATAACCTGCAATTCATCCATTTTCAAGGGCCATCATCACCACCAATTAGAGCGCGTCAGTCCAGCTCCCTAAAGTGCAGCCTAAGTAGAATAGCCACGGGGCTTTCAAACTGCGCAGCCTGACTGAAAAATAACACTCCTACATCGACCAGTAAACGCTAGCTGGCTTTACAGTTACATTGAATCTTGCACATCAATATCTGACAATAAATCTGCCTAATTAAGGAGCCCTACTCATTTTGGTCGTCCTTTCTACTTTTTTGGGGGGATCCATTCATGAGTCGTTCGAACCTGAACAAACATTCAAATACATTTAAAAAAAGGTCTCGTGGAACCATTTTAATGACGTTTTAAATTACGCCGAAGTTTATGTTTTTCCACTGAAAAGCGTACATGCTTTTTGTTCAACACATGATAGTACAAATGGCCATTTATTGCCTTGCGTGGATAATAAATTGCTTTGACAAACCAACAACTTAGATACTTATCTAAAAAAAAAACTATGCAAGATAAACAGTTAAGTACAGAGCCTGCGAATCATCAGCTACATTTCAGATGAACAATGGAACCATGTTCAATTGGTTTCTGATTACCAAAGGTCAATTATTACTCACTAACCTGCCATGTTTAATCTGGGATATGATTACTTTTCAACTACGAAACTAAAGGGCAAATTTCTGAAGCATTCAAAACGCACACACAGGGATTTGATGCTTTTGTTTTGTTGTTTAGAAAAATTAGACTTTTGCGTTCGTTATATTTGATCAGTAAGTTTCAGAAGACTACAATGAGACAATTCAAAAGTATGTCATCAAAGACACATTTAGGAATTCAAATACTTTTTACATCGTGGCGAAGACGTATCTAATTTGAACACATCTAATGTCCATCTCAGTAATCTGTTTTGACATAACTGGCTAAACTACCCTACCATACCTCGGTAGAGGTAGAGAGAAGTTTAAGCCTCTCAATATCCAATACTTCCAAATATCAACACATAGGGATACAGATGTTGCGCTTGGGATAGACAAAGCTTATAAAACAAAACAGAGCCAGCTATTGATGACCTCTAACACGCATAATTTTCTACCATAATTGGAATAGTTCTGTCACAGTGGCAATGCCATCAAGGTTTGGAAGTCAACAAAGGGTTGATACTCCCAACAATTCGGCAGCCAATCCTCCCAAGTCACTTCAGGAACAGCGAATACACATTTTTTTAAAAAAAAAATCATAAATGCGGTCTAAAAAGGCAGTATTAGGAGAAATGCTGACAAATTCAAACATTAGATGTTTAAGTTTTGTTTTGTCTTATTTCAGGAGAAGTAGGCTATTCAGTGTTATGTATTTCATAGAATCGTAGAATCGCTACAGTATGGAAGTAGGGCATTCGGCCCATCGAGTCTATACCGACCCTCTGAACAGCATCCCACCCAGATCCACCCCCACCCTATCCCTGTGTCCTTGCATTTCCCACGGCTTATCCAGCTAGCCTGCACAACCCTGGACGCTATGGGCAATTTAGCATGGCCAATCCACCAAACCTACAAATCTTTGGACCTTATCTGAAGAAATTTATCGGAAGAAAGTTCAGCAGCCATATACAATGCTGAGAGCCAGAGAAAAAGTTGCATTCGTTTTGGATTCCAGTTAAGTAACCTTATGTATAACAGAGGGAGAAATATCTACCGTTAGGACCTGAGCCACGGCCAAATTCCTTTTTTTTTAAAATGGGGCAATACAGTGAATCCGATTAAAATCCTGGGTGCAGCCAAGAGGTGCATACACAATGCGCATTGTGGTCTGAGTCACCGTTCGTTCCCTCTATTGGGAAATGAAAGGTCCTCAGAAATATAGACTGGGTTGTGAGAAGTTAATTGTGCCATTTTAACGCAATTGGAAGTGATATACATACTCTTGAGAGTAATATTCTTTGTTGGAAAATGGGGCAAAGTTGAAACTGAAGTTCTGAGTCGCGAGTAAATGATTTTGAAGGTTAAAAATTCTGTCAATAAATCACTGCGACTAAAGGCACCCCTCGGCTTTGATTGACTTCCAAAAGTAAGATGTAGCAAGTAAACGATAAATCGCTGATACATTCCAGAAACATAACTCTGACAGGGATGCTAGTGGCTGTTTAATTATCAGTTACATTATTATTTTGATTTTCATCGTAACAGGGTGGGTCAGAAGTAGTTGGAGGTAGCGTCATCCCTCAAACCTCTAGCCCATTTATACCTCAGTTAGTCCTTAGCCATGTGATTATATGCCCCATTCTTTCCTCTTCCTTTCAGCAAAGCCTAGCAGGAGCAGCACAGTTAAAATTCCAGAAATGCCCAAGAGGGCAATACATCTTGCACAATATTGAGTCTGAATAATAGTGGCTAGGCTACATTCTCCAAGAATGGTAATATCCATACAATGCTGACAGAATGGTCATAACCCGGTACGCTATCGTGGTCGCAATCCATTGCCGAACCACACTAGGAGTTTCCAATTCAGCAATTTTATAATTGATTGAGACTGATCTTTACATCCATCATTTCTTTGCAAAATGAGCTGAAGAATTCTTGATCGGCACACGTGAACACTGCGGAAGAGGATTCCGCGCCTCATTGTTAGATCAATCTAGATTTAAAATGCAGTTTTAAGGGGCGATGTTATTGTCAGATTGGACGACGTTCCATCATGCAACATTTTTAAGCTTTTGGCACAAGGGTCCCGTCACTAGATATAGTTCCCCAATAATTAAACATCTTGCATTCGACATATTTAATAAAAGGTAAAATTAAAGCGTCACACACGGAACCACAATACCAGACAATTGGATTCATTTGATCATAGATTTTATCTGTAATTTGTAATGAAATTGTTGAAATTTGGTCTAATTTAAAATGAAAGTCTGATCGTTCTGCAAAACCGAAGCAAGGGCACACCCATTCCCGAGATCCAGGAAATGCTGGGACTCCATCGGGTACCGGTTCCTTCACCTTCAGGCTAGTACAATTAAAGGCGTCACCAACGGCTGTGCTCTAAACCGGTAGATACATACATCCTTTCCCAGAAAGTACGCCGTGTCCGATTTATTTGCAATATACATCCAATAACTGCCAATTTGCTAATTACTAATAGCAAGGTCGTAATTACCGTGTTATATGTCTTTGAATCATTTGCTATGCCCATGAGCCCGCTAATTATTTCCATGCACGGAAACTGTCGAACACTTTACCTTCAGAAGGGTTCCGCTGATTAAACTGGGAAGGATGATCGGAAGGTCCACATGCCGCCGCGACGAGTCCAATATTTTACCTGCAGTGGTGTCAGCAATGAGAATGGAAACCAATCTGGTGCAGTGTGTGATGAACCGCTTTCCGCCTGTGTTCTGCGCGGGGGGCGGAGAATGAAGCAGTGCTCTGCTCTCGGCCCAGGATATCGGATTAGATCACCTCCTGTTTTTGCTGTCGACAGATGGCACCTGATTCATTTCACAATAAGAGTCGCTTGTACTTTAATGCCATCGCCGTTCTCTGCAGAATAATACAATCTGCTGAGTGAACAATGGGAGATCTTTAGAGATTTTCTGGGAAAACGTATTTGGAAGTTCAGGCTTTTTGATGTATTGAAATCGATCCTAATAACAGGTTCACGACTGAAAACAATTTTTCTCATTGTCTACCCTTGCAGAAAGAGTTGAGTCACGCTCGCGCACTGGTGCACGGGCCCTGGCTGTACTCTTACCAAATTACCACTTTATCACGTAAACCTTTCTAACTGTTGCTGACCGGGGACATCCAAGCTGAACTGATCCTGTCCTCACTCACCGGAATGTTTTTTTTATGGCGATGCACATTGAGTTAGTGCTCAGGAGATTACCCACTTGCAGCTTTTTTCTTCTTAGCTATGCAAGAAGAGTCCTTCTCTAATAAAGTTACAATGCCACATTTTCCAACTTCCTAGACAAATCCCCAACAAATAATCTATAATTCTGATTAGTTTCACAACAGTACTCTGTATTGAAAGTTTAATGACGATTGCCATATGCATCCAGGCCATAGTGGTGCCATCACAAGATCTTCTAAATCAAGTGACAAGAAAGACAGTGCAACGAGCACATACTCTCCCAAGCTACCCTTAGTAATATTGTGGTATTAACCACTAGATACCAAATTCACTGGGTGGGACACATTCTTACGACATTCATATGACAAAGACTCCAAAAACAATTGTTCACTTGGAACTCTATTGCAACAGGAGATTTATATATATTTTTTCTATTCATTCATGGAATGAGAGTGTCGCTGGCTAGGCTTCATTTATTGCCCAGAGGGCAGTTAAGAGTCAATCACATTGCTGTGGATCTGGAGCCACATGTAGGCCAGACCAGGTAAGGATGGCAGTTTCTTTTCCTAAAGGACATTAGTGAACCAGATGGGTTTTTCTGACTATCGGCAATGGATTCATGGTCATCATTAGACCCTTAAGTCCAGATATTTATTGAATTCAAATTCCACCATCTGCCATGGTGGGATTTGAATATGGGTCCCTAGAACATTATCTGGGTCTCTGGATTAACAGCCCAGTGATAATACCACTAGGCCATCGCCTCCCCAATATAGAATTATATAATGTATTATTATAT